ACGCACATACAGTGCCTTCCACATTTATTTAGACAGTCGAATATAAAAGTGGCTTGAAACTAAACTCTAATGTACTTGTAAAAACATGGGATGTCATTAAAAATTAAGCAAAAGTGCCTCTTAAATTACAACCCATAATTTTCGCATATTAGTTGAGCGGCAACTTGGTATGGGTACTGGAGACATCATATGCATTCAACATGCAATTGCGTGCCAAAGGGGCAAACGAACCCCAAGCGAGAGCGATGACGACGACGACGACTACAACAACGAGGACGCAACGGGTGAAGCCTGAAATTAAAACATTATTCATAAGCAGCCCACCAACGTTTGAGAATGGAGACGAGGCCAGCCAAGGATCATATCGCTCTAATGGCATGCTACCCAAGGAACAGCTTGGCTAGCTCTGTAGACTTACCCCTTTGCTGGTCGTAGACCAGTCTGGCTGGCTGGCTTCAAGTTGGCGTTTTACTGCTTTTAAGTTCTAATGACTCCAATGCGAGTCACAAAAGTCTGGTAATTGTAAACTTTACGTGCCACGTTGCTGCAAACCAGAAATGGAATCGCAGTCGGGTTCTGAATAGCTGCCGTATCCCCGACTCCTTGACATCTCAAGTGTAATCAGAGTCGAAATCAAAATCCGCAGTGCGTTTCTAATGAACTAGTTTCTTTTTGTTGCCGCACACTCCTGAATCGAGTCGAATTTATTGAGCTATAAAGGTGTCAAAATGTCTGCCTCGCGCACTACATAGATTAAATGCCATATTCGTTGATTGTGAATAATTAAGAAAGGGCTTGCGTGTGCTAAGTACGCTCCCAGCTCTCTTTCTATCTCTCTCTACCCCCCTTTTGTCCATCATTACCATAAAAAATCTCATTAGGCCAAATGTATAATATAATGACTTTGCCCTTAGCTTTGCGGGTGCTTTGTTTTTTGGCATGTTTGAGATGGTCTTGCAATTCATTAGGCGCTCTGCCAGGTGAATCAATAATGAAGATGAAGAGATGTTACAAAAACAAATTAGTTAGTACAGGGCCGCAAGCACAAATATATACTTAAAGCCAGTTGTGTTCCACACAACAAACTCAGGTTTCCGTTTAAGCCTTTTCAAAATATTATTTACATTTTTTTTTCCAATAATTTCCCGTTCTGCTGAATATATTGCAAGCCGGATATATTTTCATATAGAATTTGCGGGCTAAATTATTTCATTTAGTTTCAACACAATATTGGCTACTTCCAAATATGGTCAGTTGAATCCAATTGTTTCTGCTTTGTGCGTAGTCTCTACCGCGCTGAGTCTCCACTGAACGAATCTCTAAAAATCGTTTAGTTCAAAACCGTTTCTTGGCTTTTACTAGCATTTAATATCCTTTTAATATACAAAGAGTAAAAAAGAACATAGTAAGCATATAATAATACTTTTGTTGATATAATTTGTATTTAGTCACATTCCGTAACGGAGCTCCGGGCTATACACATCTAATATTACTCTCAGTTCATAGTTTGTTAACCAACTTTCAATAATTATACCAAAATGAGCAACTTGTAAGTATTAATGTTACTTTAATTGGCTTCTGAATGATAATTTTATCTTGGTTAATTTATTAAGCGTGGTCAACTGGATGAAGTGCCATGGCACCGAAACTCCTTCGTATAATGCACCACGCGTTGAGCTGCTGCGTCCGATGACCTCGGAACTGCAGAGCCTACAAAAGTTAGCTCAAGCAGCTAGGCGCGAACAGATGAACAGATTGGTTATTCAAGAGAAGGCCAACTATGACGCTGAGCTAAGAAGCACTTTGGGCAAGTCCTTTGTAAAGGATGATGTTTGTGATCGACACCTTTGCAGTGATTGGGGCAGTCACCGTGACAGACGTACCCTTTAATTGAGTTTCAAAAGTTTGAAGATGCAATAATAAAATGAAATGTGGTGCATATACTATTTTAAAATTATCTGTAGAAGTGGAAATCCATTTTGGATCGCTCGCTCTTCACTAAAGGTTTTATAATTAATATATATTCCACATAAGGGGTTGCTATAACAATAGGAGCCCAATAAAAACAATCGAAGAATAAACTTTAGTTTATAGTTTTACAACACCGGTATTTGCCCTTATACCGCACTTCCAATTAGCGGAAAGAAATTTTCTTCATTTATCAACATTAATACATACTAATTGTAACGCCTTGAAATTTCAGCAGCAATCATTAACGCAAATCCACCTCCCTTCTGCCAGTCAATGGGGCGTTACTGCTTTAATTACACACAAATTATTTGGCAATGAGCCTGCACAATTTGGCCAAAGTGAATTGCATTTATTTGCGTAACTCAACGTTCACCTTTCGCATTTAGTGGGACGATTAATTCTTTACAAAACCAGGCCAGCAAAGTGAAACTTATTTATCCGAATAACTGGATGCTACAAATGTCAGCATTAAGCGTCATACTCTGGAAATAGGATAAGGTTCGGTTGGTTGATTGCCTCGGAGTTAGCGGGTTGCTCTGCCAGGGGCATGTCCTTCGTTTGATTTGGATGCTTTGTGGCGGCTGCTGTCCCAATTTGCACCCTTTTCATGCAATGTGTGAAATATGGGAAGCAGTTGATGTGACGCCATAGCCACAGCCACACCCTCAGGCCCACATGCCCACAAGCTGGCAAGGGTTCCTTCCCATTGTTGTTCCGTGGTCAAATTGTCGTAAATTAGTTTTAACACCTGACTGAGTGGCTTTTCGAGTGGTTGCCGTGTCTCCATTCAAACTGGACTGTGTGTGTGTGTGTGTCCATTTGAGTTTTCTCAACAAGTTTCGCCTACCTTGGCAGCCTTTGCTGCCAGCTTGTGGACAGCAAGGATCCGGTGCGAACAACCCTTTTGTGTTTTGTTGTCCCCAACGCTGACTTTGTCATCTGTTTTGTGGTGTGTGAAATTAATGTAATCGTATTTTAAGCATAAACTATGTAAGAACATTGCTTTTCAATTAAGCTGCATGCCGCACAGCTGTCCAGGCATTAAGTGCTAACTTCTGGAATTGCCACTCGAAATGCCATCGAACCAATGAGCAAGTAGCTTGGCCAAAATTATCTGGCAAGTGCGAGATTTCCGGCTTGTAGGTAAAAGTGTGGATTACCCGCAGCTGATGAGTAGCTTAACCTTACTGACACTGCTTCGACCATTCCCAATTTAGACAAGCAAATTACGTTTGGAAAAAATCCCATCATAAAAACTGAAAGAAATGCTGCACAAATCCAAATGCTGTAAAAATACAACGCAAACATTTGGGTCACTCCGTTTTTTTTTTTCGCTTTTTCGTTTATTTTATGGCAGCTTTCAAAGTTTTTACTCATTGCCTGATGGCTGGCTGTCGAGCTGTCCACCTGGACAAGCGAAGCAGCTGCAGCCGCAGTCACAGCCGCAAGGGCTCTCGCCGAGGTGGCAATAAAATAAATGGCAGCACTTTCGATTTTACCCGCACAAACCAACACTGGCTGGGACACAGGGTGCCTCGAAACTAGGGATGAACGCGGGATAGGTTTTGACGACACCTCCCAACACGAACATGAAACTATATTTTTAAGCACGCACGAAAACAATTTTGCAAGGCACGGCCTATCCCGACACGGTCCAAAATAACTTTATTTATTTTTGTTCTCTCTACACTTTTAATTTCTTAATATATGATTATAAGGAGAAGTATGCAAAAGATCAACTGGGCTTGAGTGTGCAGTCAGACCGTACTCTTTGTATTGGTAAGGCTGGCACGGAACACGCACGAGAGAAAAACACGGTCCTTGCCCATCTCGACATCAATCCCCCGAAAAAGGCTATTTGGAAAGGCGTGGATGCGATGGCGCATACGCCATATATCAAAAGGCGAAAGAGTAAAGCACATAAACCAGCTTGAGAGAGTGGGGGATACTGTTGAGAGCTGAGCTGAGGTGCTCGGAGTGAGATTTGCAGTAGAGTTGGTTAACGGCAAATATTTGCGGTATTTTCACTTGGCCACTGAGTGGTTTATGACTCCTTATGGCGCCTGCAGCCTGTAGTTTGTATTATTGTCCCTGTTGCTGTTGTTGCCAGGTAAATCCAAACACTAAAAGGCACTACTCTTGGGTATTTGCTAGCTTCTCTCGCCTTGAGCTGCTCAGGTGACTGACTGGCACTGCGCTTAAGATTAATGCCCGGCCATGGCGACAGCCACATCCGCAACCGCAGCTCTCCTTCGACAACTCGATTGTTCAAAATATTGACAATGTAGCCAATGCACGGGAATAAAACATAATATTGAAAGGAGAAACGTAATTTCTAAAAGGATTACGAAAAGCTTTAAAGCAAAGCCAGCGACAACGACAACGACAAAGACGACGAAGGCAACGACAACGGCGACGGCAACATGAAAAATGAATTGCAAAGAAATGAAAGGAAAAGAAAAGAAAAGAACAGCTGGGAAAAGCACAGAAAGTTTTCATTTGCCAGGCACTTGGCGCAATACTTACACACATGAGCAAAGTTTCAATGCTGTAAAATATGTGAAAAATGAACGGAAATACCGCAACGACGAGGCGGAAATGGCAAAATACACGTACAAAGATGGCACAAAATGGCCGACGAAAGCCTCAAATCAAAGGAATATGTGAATGTGTGTGCGTCGCGATGTGATGCAGAAAAGGTTTCTGACAAAGCTACTGTCGCATATATGACATGGAAAATGTGCGGCACACACTGTAATTAATGACAGCCAAATTATTGTCGAAATGGGAAAGGATGTGCCCACAGATAACCACAACCTCAGCCTGTTAGGGGATCAAAGATAACACAGGGCTTTTGAATATATGTGAGCTAATGCTTTTGTCATATACATGAACACGAAGCCATATATACTATATCGAATAATATGGAGGACTCATTAGGAACGTATGCTTAGTCCAATCCGTTCATGATATCAGAAGAGACTCACTGCCATTCGACGTTGAGAGATTTAGTATTTCAGTGTTATACGATGTTTCAGCTCGTCAGGTGTCTGCTGCGGGTCAGTTACTATTATGCGCTGCTCGTAGGTGTGCTTAACTTTGAGATTGATTTGCGAACGGGCCGGGCGCGCATAACCAGGCGAACTTCGATCTATGCTGCTTGCGTGAATGTGATTTGCATTTGTGGCCTCCCCTGGTTGAGTGGAACGCATGTAATTCATTCGTTCTGGTCGCAGGCTGAACTACTTCACGATTACATGTTCCTGGTTATGTTAAGTGGGCGTGTCCTTTGTGTGTCTGTGACACTGATCAGCCGTTGGTCCCAGCGCCGGCAATTCGTTCGCCTTGTGAACTCCTTCCAACATCTGACCCAACAGAGGCCTCACGTGATGAGAATGTGGCGACGCGGAGTTATTAGCAAATTTATAAGCGTTATTCTTTCAGATTTTTTGCAAATGGCAGCTAGCTTGCTACTTATTTGGGAGAAGCTTACAATTAAGTCGAGCTTCAGCGTCATGATTTTTTACGCAATCTCAGCGCTTGTCAATATCATTATCTCCCATTATTACTTCGCTCTGCTCAATGTGTACGGTCAATATATCCTGCTCAATAGGGAGCTGCGCGCTGTACTGGCTGAAACCCGCTCTCTAGAGTCCGAGTGCCGGAAGGGTGTGTTTATTATAAAGTGCTGTGCTTTGGCCGATCGGCTAGAGGCCATTGGCTGCAAGCAATTTCAGCTGCAAATATTGATCAAGCAATTAACAAACTGCTTTGGACTGCAGACCTTGCTATTGACCATAAGTTATTATATGTCGGGCGTCTCCATGATCTACCTCGGATTTTCCGAGTTGACGGGTGCCATCCGTTTAAACTGGAGCAAATGGGTCTTAGCTCTGCTTGGCTGTGGATTTATATGCTACTTTACAGATATTCACATATCCGTGAATATTATCTACGCTCTTCTGGATGCACATGCTGAGATGGTGAAGCTGCTCTCTCAGCACACTCTGTTTGCCCCGGGCTTAGATGAACGACTGGTGGCTGTTGTAAGAGAATCTCATATATAATAATCAAATTGGCTTTTAGACTAGACTTACTTTTACTTTTTAGTTCGACAGCTTTCAGCTACAGCTAGCATGGAATCCTTTAAGGTTCTCAGTTCTGGGGCTCTATGATATGGAGAAGTCGAACGCAGTTACTTTGGCCAGCTCAGTAGTAACCAGTTCTCTAGTTCTGATCCAAAATGATTTAAAAAATGCCTATTTATATTAATTTTAATAATAAAAACCACATGTTTTTTAATATTACTTGCGAAGTTGTTTTGTTGGATGCATACATAGATTTGACATCCGCGTTTTGCCGCATTTGCAAATATAATTAGCTGAAACATATTCATTACACAAGCTAACTACTACTTTCCCGCTCTTAGTGTTTTGTTTTGCTGTTTTTTTTTTTATCAGAAATCAGTCAGTCAAGACAAATAGTTTTTTATATGTAGACTTACTTGTGCACTAATTAATCTTCGTTCTGTGTTGTAGTGAAAGTAGTTAGTTGTTCTTGAATGTTGTTCCATTTTGAAATTAGTGACCATTTCTTTGGGGTCATCTTATCAAACAATCTATCAATCGCATAAAATGCTATGTATTTGCAGTCGACCGTCCGACCAATTGAAATTATTATTTCCTTTAGTGCTTCGAAATGTTTGACCCCATAAAGTGGATACTGCGCATGGTGTACTTTTATTCGCGGCTTCTTGGCGTAATCAATTTTGAGATTGATATGAAAACCGGTCGGGCGAGCGTCACGAGACGAGCATCGATATATGCAGGTGTGGTAAATGGTTTAATTCTGAGCCTATTACCATTTTTGAGCCTCAGTAATCTGTTGCAAACGATGTGGTCACATGCCGGGCTGCTCCACGAGTATCTCTTCCTGGTCATCTATGTCACGCGAGTCAGCTGCCTTGTGATAACGTTATGCAGTCGCTGGTGGCAGCGCGGTCGGCTCATTCACCTGGTGAACGCCTTTAGTCGCTTGGCATTTCGGAGGCCACAAGTTATGAGAATGTGGCGTCGCAGAGTTGTTTTAAAATTTATGAGCATTTTCCTATCGGAGATCTCTCAAGTAGCAATAAGCTTTTATCCGATGCGATCATACCTGACTCTTAAGTTGACCTTTAGCATTCTTATGTTGTATGCAATGACAGCCCTGGTAAATGTGATAATCTCGCATTTTTACTTTATAAATGTGAATGTGCATAGCCATTACATCCTGCTCAACCAGGAGATACAGGCAGTGCTCAGCGAACTACGTTCCCTGGAGACTGAACATCGAAGGGCTACTCGCATGATTAAATGCTGCTTCCTAGCCGACCAGCTGGAGGACATAGCCAGGACACAGTCTGAATTGCAAACGCTTCTAAAACGTTCGGCCCGTATTTTTGACATTCAGGGTCTCTGTATAACCGTCATTATGTACCTCTCCATGATAGCTACCATATACTTTACCTTTGTCGGCCTTACATCGACCAACCGTACCTTAAACTGGAGCTTCTCAAACATACTATTCTTGTTTGAAGTCGCCTTCTACTTTGCGGATATTCTGGTCACCATGGACAACCTATACATTGTCCTGGATGTCCATGCGGAAATGGTAACCTTGCTGGCGCAGTTCTCAACGCTTGCTCCGGGCTTGGATGAGCGATTGGAGATGGTCGTAAGTGCAGTTAATAGAATAAAGTTGGAATTAGTTGATTTAATAAGTTTTTTATTTCAGTACGAAAGTTTTCAACTTCAGCTTGCGCGGAACCCCTTACAGGTCTGCCTCTTTTACCTCTATAAAGTGGAGCGAGCAAAAGCTGTTGCTATAGCCAGCTCAATAGTAAGCAACTCTCTGGTGTTGGTTCAATACGAAGTGCAAAATACTTAGTTAAAATATATTTATTTTGTTGGAATACTATTGAACTTGTATATATACTATTTTGTTACCAGAATTCATTTGTTAGTTATACTTATATTTTCATGATTTCCAACAATATCTACTTTGGAGACCTCTGGATACCTATACTAAATAATATATTGCCCGCTGTAGAACTGCACTTGACCAATGTCGCCTATTGACTGGTTCACATGTTTAGCTATTTATTATAATGATTCCATTTTCTAATTAGCTTTAATTTCATTGGGTATGTCATATCAGACTATCAGCCAATCGCATCAAACGCAATGCATTTTAATTAGACCGTCCAGACAAAGGGAGTTGAAGCTCTGCTTAGTTCTGCAATATGTTTGGTATACAATAGGAAACAAGAAAGTGACGGGATGTTATTTCTAATATAACATTCTGCTCTCGGAGTTTTTAAAATTGCAATGAGCTTAGAAACGCGAGCATATCTGATGCTTAACATAAAAGTCAAGTTAATTTTTTATTATACATGCTGTTAGCGCTGGTCAATGTTATAGTCTCGCACTTTTACCTCGTAATGGTTAATATTCATACCACTATATTCTGCTCAACCAGGAAATTAAGAAAGTGCTACTTGAATTTATTGATACTATGTCTCCTTTCTCTCTATTTATTACTAAGGCATATTATTATTATACATATTATTACTAAAGCAAACGAGCGCAGAGTGCGAGATTCATTGGTGTTTGAATAAGAGGGTTCAGGGTATTCCCTAGTCGGGAGATCCGGTTAGAGTCTCTTACTTGATTGTTTTGTAATCAGCCATATTTCCAGTGGCTACCTCATATCAGTCGATCCATAGATTAACAATCATCAAATACATATTATTGTCATTGGACCCTCTGACCAATGGGAATTGAAAGGTGTCTTAGTCTTTCAAAATGGGCGACGCTGTGCAGTGGATTTTGCGTATATCCTATTATTACTCTAAGTTTCTTGGTGTGATTAACTTTGAGATTGACATGCGGACAGGTCACGCGCGAATTACGAAAGTAGCATCGATCTATGCAGTCCTGATAAATATACTGATTTTCGGATTTCTCATTGTTCTATGTCGCAGTGACCTAATACAAATAATGTGGTCACATGCCGGCCGACTCCACGAGTATCTATTTTTGCTCGTCCATGGCACAAGAGTCAGCTGCGTGATGGCCACCTTGTTCAGCCGCTGGTGGCAGCGCCGCCGGCTCATTCGGCTTGTAAACGCTTTTCGCGGTCTGGCGATTCGGAAGCCACAAGTGATGAGAATGTGGCGACGGCGAATTATTATGAAATTTATCAGCATAAGCCTGTCGGAACTACTGCAAATATTAGTAAGCTTTTTAACCCTCCGGCCTTACCTAACTGTGAACTTGGCCTCTAGCATATTCCTGCTATATACTCTGACAGTACTGGTCAACGTCATTATCTCGCACTATTACTTTGCAATAGTGAATGTCCACAGCCACTATATTCTACTCAATCAAGAGATGCGCGCTGTGCTTGTCGAGATTCGATCCCTGGAGGGGGAACATCGTAAGGCTGCATTCATGATTAAATGCTGCACCCTTGCAGACCAGCTGGAGGTGATTGCCGGAACACAATACGAAGTACAAACGCTCCTAAAACGGATAACCAACATTTTTGGAATACAGGGCATCGTTGTAATGATCAATAGCTACATATCTATACTCGCCACAATCTATTTTTCGTTCTCCTCCGTTAAGAATATGCATGGTATAGAATGGACCCCAGTGTATATTTTTCTGTTTATCTTAAATGTCGTCTGCTACTTTGCGGACATTTTAATTACTCTTAACAACGTCTTCTTTGTCCTGGAGGTCCATAAACATATGGTGAAACTGCTGGAGCGGCTTACAATGTTTTCGCCGGGCTTAGACGAGAGGCTGCAGACGGTCGTAAGTGTAGCTAACGCATTTTTGTGAAATTAAAACATTTTTAAATTACTTATAGATCGAGAGCTTTCAGCTGCAGATCACGCGCAATCCTTTAAAGATTTCTGTTCTAAGCCTCTTCAGTATGGACCGATCGAGATCTATGTCTATGGCCAACTCACTGGTCACCAATTCATTGGTACTCATTCAGTACGACATAAAAAACCCTAGAGAGTAATTTAAAATATAAAAATACTCTTATATTTATACATAAGAGAGTTCGTTCTGACTGACTGATAATCAACAAATAACCCAAACCTGAAATTTTGACCGGAGCTTCCAAGTGGGAGACAACTCTGTTTAACATTCGTATGATAAACATCAGCAATAACGTAACTATATAACTAGTTGGCATGGAACTAAGAAGCGAGAGGTCGCGGGCTCAAATACAGCAACCATTTTCAATAATAACAGACTTTGAACATATCTGAAAATGGAAAATGAATAAGTGTTACCTATAAAAATTAAAATATTTAACCACATCGGCATCTGGTAATTTATAATCGGTATTTTTATGCAATACCATATAAGACTTAAGCTGAAAAACATTTTTAGCTTGTTTCCTGCAACCATGAGTTCAACAATCAGACTACATTAATACACAACCTACAATTACAATATAATGTTTCCATTTGAGCTCATTAGATTGTTTAAAGTTCGCTTAAAGCTATCGCTTTATAAGTGATTTTATCGACCTGTATGTAAGTAGAGTGTAGCTACACGTTTTCAATGTGACCAAAATGAAGCTCTGAGCAATTTAAGAGACAGGCAACAAAAGAAAACACAATATTCTTTGGACAGGCAGGCAGACAGTTTGAAGTTGGGCCATGCCTGAATTTTGTAGTTGTAGCCAAGGCAGTGTCCTCCTTTGGTGTCTCGGCGGTTCACGAAACAGAGAAAAATAAACAAAATAATGAGTGAGCGCACCAGAATGAAGGGTACGTATCATATGATACCACACCATATACGGTATCTGTGTCAATGGCATGTGTAATTGCGAGCAAGCGAACCGATAATGGCCGTTTTATACAGTGGCTGGCATCTGTATACGGTCACGGAAATGGTTGTGGTTGAGGTTGTGGTAATGGTAATGCCTTTGGCGGGAATCCTTTGTGTTGCGATTGCCAGGCATTTATAACTTGGGCAACTTGTCCTTGCCCAACGACACT